TGAGTTCGAGGCCAGCCTGGACTACCAAGTGAGTCCCAGGAAAGGCGCAAAGCTACACAGAGAAACCCTGTCTCGAACCCCCCCCCCCCCAAAAAAAAGGTTGTTTTGTCTGCCACTGGGTCTGCCTATGTAGTCCTGGCTGTGCTGGAATTCACTCTGTAGACTGGGCTGGCCTTGAACTCAGAGATTCTCTTGCCTGCCTCCTGTAGCTGGGGTTAAAGGAATGTGCCACCACTCCCAGCTCTGTATTAAGCTTTTAAATATTATAGCCTAGCTGCCTTAGTTTCCTCAACAAGGGAAGTGTAGGAGACTACAAAAAGATACATGAATAGGAGATTATATCAGAATGGCTTGCCATTGAGAATTTGACAACAACCTAAGTCTAAGAGATTGTTTAAGCATAATTATACACTCTGTAAAGCATTAAAAGTGATATAAGATTTATCTGTCTGTATTATATTCATAGCAGAGTACTAAGCATAAACAGTATTTACTGTTTTTTTCAGAGCAGCATGTACATATATCAATGTCTAAATGTGTTTGTATGTATATATGACTTCCAAAAAGTAATAAATATTGTCTGTCTCAAGAAGTTTTTATGAGATGCCCATTAAGGTCATGTGTTTTTATTTTATAACTATGCAACAACTATTGATATTCAATAAAGTTATGCATTATTAAATAGTATTCTATTCTAGAATAGAGAAGGTATCTATGTAATGTTTCTCTTTAAACATACAGATTTTGTATGTTCTTGTTGGTTAGCTGCTTTTCCTCTGGCTTTGGGCAGAGGGTGTTTCCTTACCTGTTGGTTACCTGTCCTGCAGATGTAATGCTACTCATACAGCTTAGCCAACGTGGTCTTATCAGGGCGTGTGCTGTTAATGGCAGTTACACACCAGCGTCCATCTGTAACTTACTTACTTTGGGCAGTGATAAAAACATGTGCTTTGATACGAATTTTATTCTATTCTATTCTGCTTTATTTTTGCAGTGCTTTGGATCAAACCCAAGACTTGAGCATGTTAGGCAAGCACTCCTGATATTGTTTTTATAGTTTAGCAGGTAATGTTGAAGGTATTTTCCACTAAATTTTATATTATATATATATATATGTATGTATATAATACATTTTATGTATTATATATATATATGTGTGTACACATATATTATTTTATATTTTGCTTCAACAGATTCTTTTTCGACTAGTTAAAAACATGGAGCCAGAAACCGAGGGGCCACCACCAACAGTCCAAGTGACACCTCTTCAGCAAATGATTGCCTCTTGTACTGGAGCTATATTGACATCACTAATGGGTAAAATTATGTTATCAGTACAGATTATGTAACTTTGAATGTTCCATTAGAGTTTTTTATCTGTGAGGTAATGATATTATTTTTGAGGGATGTGTGTATGGGATGTGTGAATGTATACATACTTGTTGTTTGTGTATGAGTGCATGTGACAGCAGAAGTCAGTGTCAACATCTGTGCTTTTACCTTATTCCTGTGTGTGCCTGTGTATGTATGTGTGTGCATATGCATGCATGCATATGTGTATGCAAGTGTGTGTGGAGGCCAGAGTTCGATGTTGGATGTCTTCTTCAGTCCTGCTCCACTTAATTTTTTGAGACAGCCTCTCACTGAAGCTGGAGCTTAATGATTGGCTAGCAAGCCCCCAGGGATCCTCCTGTCTTTGCCACCCCAGTGCTAGGATTACAGTCCAGTGCCACTGGGCCCAATGTTTAACGTGGGTGAAAGGATTCAAAGCCTATTCTGCATTCTTGTGTAGCAGGCCCTTCACTGGGCCGTCTCAGCCCCAGACTAATGATAGTATACAACATGTAGGATGCCAGAACTTCTTCATCAGCATGACAAGGGGAAAAGAACAGAAAAGGAAGAGACTGAGTTTCTGTCCTTGCCTCTTCACTCACAGGTCGTGGCTGCACTCTCGAATACCAATTTTTCTGAGGTTTATCTTTTAATTGAAAATAAGGAGTTTCAGCTGGGTGCGGGGGCACATGCCTTTAATCTCAGGACTTGGGAAGCAAAGGCATGTAGATCTTTGCAGGGCGGCATGGTATATATAAGAGTTCCAGGACAACCAGGGCTACATAATAGAGAAACAAAACAAAACAAAAAAGCAAAAGAAAAAGGAGGAAGAAAATTGGTTGGTTTTAAAATAAGTTACTGGAGGTCTCTATCAACGGTATTAAACTTTCACAGTTCCCTTATGTCTTTTAAAATAGAAAAGGAATAAAACATTTACATATGGAATAAGAGAATTTTGGGCAACTTAAGAGTTTAAGTTTCTAAGGATTATGTTTTTTATGTATCGTATAGTGCATTTCTTATAGACATAGCCAAATGGCATACATGATACCTTACCATTTGAATGATTTTTAAGTTGACTAGTTTATTTAATTAAGATAAGAAGTGATTAGAACATATAAACCAGTTGCTTTGTGGTGTATATTTAGGTCAGCATTCAAATTCATAATGACCTTACAAATTATCTAATGTGACTTTCTTCTTTGATGAGGAATAGTTTTCTTGAAACTACAATTTGGTATTTTTATCTTATTTTCATGAAATAGAGGATGCAAATGAAAATAAGATGCAGATTTTCTTTGTTCCCAAATGGATGGTAATGCTGAAGATAATTTATGGCTAGCCTACCCCAAATTTTGTTTCTTACAGGCTTTATTTGATGCAGATAAATTGGTCAGGTTGGGAAGACTCGCACTGTCTGTGTTTTAGTTACTTGTAATATGAAGTTTTTCTCAAATTTTTAGACTTTTAGGACTTTGGTTCATTGCTTTAAAGAACATATTTTAAGAGTGTAGTGCGTTGGTTCTAACACACTGTGTTAGATTCACCCTGGAATTGTAGTTGCAGATAGGAATGACTTGTACTTGTGAGAAGTGATTCGAAGTCTGTCTTCACTAGCCCAGGACAGACATACGGAGAACTGCATTTAGGAGCAGTGAGTAGGACACCTCCTTGGTGAAACTCACACTCAGTGCTGTTCTTAGATAAACAGTTCATCCATTGCATAGAAATGAGGAAAAGTATGAACTGATGGATAGTTTTTAAATGACCACATACGTCTTAGAGAATTAGAGATAACATATCTTAATTAAAATTTCTATATTCATAGTGACACCCCTGGATGTTATTAAGATTCGACTCCAAGTCCAGAACAACCCATTCCCCAAAGGTATGTATATTTGATACCCTGACAGTATTGTTAGACTTTTTAAAAATGTTACTGTGCTCATTTTTTTTTTGCATAATATTTCTGTTAATTTATTAGAATTGATACCTTATCTAGAAACATTTTTTCACCTTTTAATTGTACCCAATGAAGTGTAGGCAGAGAAAATGTGTATGGTAGCTATCCTTTATTTATTGTATATAAATACATCTATTCATCTATATCATAACATTTTTATGGACTACCTTACTGAAGTAGAGAATGACTATATGTGAGTATATGCTATTCAGGTAAGAATAGCCCCTTTCTATCTCTTTAGGAAAGAACAGGTTTCTAAGAGATAACAACAAAACATAGCAAAATAAAATACAGTAAGATAAAACAAAACCGTCACATTGAAGTTGGACAAGACACACCAACAGGAGGAAAAGAGCCTAAGAGAAGGCACAAGAATCAGAGACCCACTCATTTACACTCTCAGGGGTCCCATAAAAACACTAAACTGGAAGCTATAACAGACACACAAAGGACCTGGTATAGACCTAAGCAGGCTCTGTGCATGCTGTTCCTTCTGTTGAGGGACATCTAGATGGCTTCTAATATCTGGCTATTATGAACCAGTGAACATGACTGAACAAGTGTTTCTGTGGTAGGATGAAGTGTCCTTTGGGCATATTCCCAAGAGTGGTATAACTGGATCTTGGGGGTAGGTTGATTCCCATCTTCCTGAGGAACCATCACACTGATTCCCAGAATGGCTATACAAGTTTGCACTCCCTCCAGACCTTGTGTAAGGGGAACAATCCCACAAGCTATGGAGGAGTGTTGCCCTTACTCCACATCCTCGCCAGCGTGAGTTGCCACTTGTTATTGATCTCAGTCATTTTGACAGATGTAAGATGAAATCTCAAAGTAGTTTTGATTGGCATTTCCCTGATGACTAAGGATGTTGAACATATTTTTAAAGTATTTTAATGAACTTATTGGTTTTCTTGATTTCAGCCCTGAGTTTGATTATTTCTTGCCATCTATTCCTTTTGGGTGTGATTTCTTCTTTTAGTTCTAAAGCTTTCAGAAGTGCTGTTAAGTATGAGGTCTCTCTGCTTTTTTTTTTTTTTTTT